ATATAAAATCTTAAAATTAAAAAACTAAAATTAATATTTAACTTTGTTACATATACCTCGTGATATAATTTGTGGCTACCACGAATGCCTACATATATGTAGGCAATTCTTAGGTAGCCCTGCATGAATTAAACATATGGCCTTTTTTAATTCTTGGGTGAAAACCTGAACTTAGGGAATAATCCCAATTTTCTCACAACAAATTCAACCCTTTGTTTTGTTTAACATGTTAGAACAACAATTCAATTTAATTCAAAAGAATTAAATAACCAACCATAGATATGTAAAACTGCTCTGATACCACTGTTGGCAATGACAGGCAATATTGGAGATTCCACTCCCTTTCTCCCATACGCCATGTTTTATGTTTAGCTAGTGGCCCTAAAAACATCAACAAAACAAGTTTTACACACAACCTCTCAACTCATTGTAATAACCAAAATTTTTATTATTGTTATTATTATTTAATTCCTTAAGGATGTGTATGCAATAAGGTGGAAATATGACGACTTATGTGTATAATGATGGTAAAGATGAAGGAGTGGCTTGTAAAATGTGCAAAACTTAACCTAGAAATTTAAGAATAGCGTGTTATTTTGTTATTCTGCAGAACCGGGGGAAGGGGCTGTGGGTTTCCTCACTCAAAAAGCAGTAAGGTGACTGCACAAATTGGGGGAAAATAGTTGCCAAGTCCATTCAAGGTAAATTTCCTTAGTTTTATAGTGATTTCTTGGTTTTAATTTAGGAATTATCTTGAAATTGTGGAATAGATTTTGGGAAAGGATGGGTCTGTCGAAGAGGGCTTTGGGTTTTATTTGGGTTGTTAAGTTAATGGAAATTGACTTGTCTAGAGTAATCTTATGAGGTTGGCTTGCAAGTTTAGCATGGTATATTGAATTTTTATTGTGCTTGTCCATTTATTCTTTGGCGGGCCAGACAAGTGGGGAAGCTTTCATGGCTAATGTGTGAAATTTAATGAGTATTTTATTATATCAAAAATTGTAAAAGAGGGAAAGCTGCTTAGTGGGTGGTGAATTGAGTAGGGATTTTTGGAATTATGTTGATTCATAAATAGAGGCATACAGTGTGTGGAATTTGGCTGAAATGAACAATTGTTTGTAGGAAAAAGGGTCTAAATAATTCTTGGCTTTGCATTCACTGGTGCCAGGTCAATAACCGAGGTAAGTGGCATTACTTTTTTTTGAAATGCTGGAAAAATAAATTATTCTTTCACTTGTTATTGTGAAATTAATTTATTTGAAATCTAAGTATATATTTTTTTTCTTTCCTTGTGGTATTTCTTTTGGAATGCATTTACTTATTTATGTGTATATTTATTTATCATTTTCTTTCTTTAAATAAATGTGGATTAAGCATGTTGGTTGTCAACTATTTGAGAAATTGTTTTACTGATGAGTTCTTTATATTTGTTTCATCCAATATAATTTCATTACTTATTTTATATCACTTTTTAATTAAAATAATTATGCTTGGTCATACTAGTTGGGTATGCTAATTATTGGGCATGTGGAGCTCACATTGTTTTATTTAATGTTTTCAGATACTAAACATGGAGCATCTGGGAGGCAGGGGAAATAGAGAGCCACCTTAGAAATAGACTATTTACTTCTTTCCCATTATGCTTAGCATTTGTGGACATTTGAAATAAAGAGATTTTAATTTAGTGCTAGTTATACTTCAGATTCTTGGTGTAAAATTGACTTTAGATGATGGAGTATTATTATCATATATATATTTTTCTATTAATTTTCTTAAAAGTGAAGAATAAATTTTATGCAAAGCTGCAGGGATGAATTTTAGAAACTGACTTAGCCTTACATGCTTTTGGAGTCACTCCTAAAGGTATGTGGCATTGTCATGTCCTAACCCCTAAGTTGGGGCGTGACAAACTCATGCCAACCACTCCATTCTTGGCCATGTCAAG